GCCGACTTCACCCCGCCGAGCCCCGAGCAGATCCAGAGCTTCCTGCAGATCGTGGAGGAGGCCAATGGCCTCGGGGAGGTATGGCCGGGGACACCCGGGGGAGGGGACAGCTAGGGGACAGCTGGGGGAAGACACTGGTGGGGCAGCTGGGGGACAGTGGAGGGGACAATTGGGGCGGTGACACAGAAGGGAAGACACCAGGAGAGACACCAGGGGAGGGGACACTAGGGAAGACATCTGGGGGGACACTTTGGGGACACCTTGAGGAGGTGGCACGTCAGGGTGGGGAACACCTTGAGGGCTGGAGGGGGGACCTCAGCAGGGTGACACCTCAGGGAGGAGGGACACCTTGAGGAGGGATGTTTGGAAAGATGGCACCGTGGTGGTGGGGGACACTTTGGAAGGGGTGACACCTTGGGAGATGGACACCACTTGAGGAATGACACCTTGGGAGGTGACACCTTCAGAGAGTGACACCTTGGGAGGGTGACACCTTGGGAGGGTGACACCTTGGGGGATGGACACTCCTTCAGGAATGACACCTTGGGAGGTGACACCTTGGGAGGTGACACCACTTGAGGAATGACACCTTGGGAGATGGTCACTCCTTCAGGAATGACACTTTGGGAGGGTGACACCTGGAGGGGAACACACACCTGTGGTAGGGCTGTGACACCTGGTGGCTGTGACGTCTCAGGGCGTTGTCACTTCAAGAAGGGACACCTAAGAAGATGAGGGGAGGGGGTGACAGAAGGTGACACCAGGCAGAAACCCCATGTGGGCAGCGCCAAAATGGGCATCACCTGCCACTCAGAGGGGCACGTGGGCATCCAGCAGTGCCACCCACTGCTGTGTCCCCCTGCCCAGGCTGTGGCAGTGCACTGCATGCTGGGCCATGGCAGGACTGGCACGCTGCTGGCCTGTTACCTGTGCAAGGAGCAGCACCTGGCAGGGGGTGATGCCATCCGTGAGATCCGGCGCCTCCGGCCCGGCTCCATCGAGACCTCAGAGCAGGAACAGGCCGTGCTCCGCTTCTGCCAGTGCCTGGGGTAGGTGCCACCCTCCTGGGTGGTTCCCTCCTCCAGCTGTGGCTCCCAAATGTCCCCAGTCCTCGCTCACTGGTGGCTTTTTCCCCTCCACAGCGCTGGCAAGGAGAGCTGAGCACATGGATGGCACCCATGGAATTGGGCACCCTGAGGTGCCAGGCGTGCCCAGCCCTGTCTGTCACCTCCTGCATTAAAGGACTGGCCTGTGGCTTCTCTCCAGGTGTGGTTTTGGGGTACACACTGGGGGGATGCTCTGCTGGGCACCCCCAGACCTGGCTTGGTTGGCAGCTGCACCCTGGGATTTGGGCCCTGGCTCTGGGTTTGGGGTTCCTCAGGGTTTGGGGTTCCTCAGGGTTCTGGTTCTGGATCCTGGGTTTGAGCTCCCTCAGGGCCCTGAATTTGGGGTCATTTAGGGTCCCAATTCTGGGGTTGTTCAGGATCCTGGTTCTGGGGTTCCTTGGGTTCCCAGATCTTGGCTCCTGGCTCTGGATCCTGGGTTTGGGGTTCCTCAGGGTTCTGGTTCTGGATCCTGGGTTTGAGCTCCCTCAGGGCCCTGAATTTGGGGTCATTCAGGGTCCCAATTCTGGGGTTGTTCGGGATCCTGGTTCTGGGGTTCCTTGGGTTCCCAGATCTTGGCTCCTGGCTCTGGATCCTGGGTTTGGGGTTCCTCAGGGTTCTGGTTCTGGATCCTCGGTTTGATCTCCCTTAGGGCCCTGGGTTTGGGGTCATTCAGGGTCCCAATTCTGGGATTGTTCAGGATCCTGGCTCTGGGGTCTTTTGGGGTCCTGGCTCTGGGGTGCTGGGTTTGAGGTTCCTCAGGGTTCTGGTTCTGGATCCTGGGTTTGAGCTCCCTCAGGGCCCTGAATTTGGGATCATTCAGGGTCCCAATTCTGGGGTTGTTTGGGGTCCTGGCTCTGGGGTCTTTTGGGGTCCTGGCTCTGGGATCCTGGGTTTGAGGTTCCTCAGGGTTCTGGTTCTGGATCCTGGGTTTGAGCTCCCTCAGGGACCTGAATTTGGGGTCAGTCACGGTCCCAGCCTGGCTGGGGTCCCAAATCTGGGTCCTGGCTCTGGGTTCTGGCTTTGGAGTCCTGGCTTGGGGGTCCCAGCTCTGGGTCCTGGCTCTGAGTTCTGGTTTGGAGTCCTCATTTTGGGGCCTTGGCTTTGGGGTCTTAGATTTGGGTGCTGGCTCTGGGTTCTGGCTTTGGGGTTTTGGCTTTAGGGTCTTAGATCTGGATCCTGGCTCTGACTTCTGACTTTGGGGTCCCAAATCTGGGTCCTGGCTCTGGGTTCTGGCTTTGGGGTCCCAAATCTGGGTCCTGGCTTTCTGTTCTGGTTTGGAGTCCTCATTTTGGAGCCTTGGCTTTGGGGTCTTAGATTTGGGTGCTGGCTCTGGGTTCTGGCTTTGGGGTCCCAAATCTGGGTCCTGGCTCTGGGTCCTGGCTCTGGGGTCCCAAATCTGGGTCCTGGCTCTGGGTCCTGGCTCTGGGGTCCCTCAGGCTGCTGTTTTTGGGG